TCTCTTTTGATTAACTTTTCAACTGGACTCAAATTTCTAGTCTGTGCATTTCCTCTAATGCCTTCGAACAAGAAAGCCCGATCTCCCAGCAGAGCAGTAACTAGTGATTTGGACATACTGAATGAGCTTTGCAATATGCTCCCTAGGGCAAGGAGGGCTAAGTTCAGTCTCAATTGAACTTTTAAAGGCAATTAATGCCATAGGGTGAGAGATTCCTAGATAGAAGGCCATGTTGAGAGAAAGAGACCCTGGGACACTCACTGCCCCTTAGGGAGGAGATAGAGAACCTTGGACACTGACTCTTAGAGAAGAGATAAAAGCCTTGAGACATTTTGAGGCTGCTACTGGAAAGGTTGCTGACAGAGTGAGGAGCAGTGGGGCAGGGTGCAGGGTAGGATCAGGCTGGGTACCAATTCACTATGCTTTGGGTGGATCTGAGGGAGACGGTATCTATACTAATGGAGGAGAATGTGTCATCAGTGATTCTAATTGTCTTGTCCTAGTTATGGTTTGTCTTCAAGTGATTACTAACTTTGGGTGATGTTGACATATTTGCTTATTATTTGAAACTCTGCCCTTCAAATCCCATACTACAGATCTATGTGTGGCATAAAGTTATTTTAAAAATAAAAATGAATTGAAACTTATTTGTGGGAATGGGGGATGAAGGGAAGCAGGGAGATTAACCTAGTGAGTTCTTAGACAGTTGTGGAGATGCTTGGTATGGAGCAAAATCAGGGCAAGGGGTGGGGGGTAGCGTCAACAGTCTGATATTCCTGGTGATTACTATTTGGGGTAGCATTGAGAGGCATCATGGTGATAATAGTGGGAAAAGCACATGTTGAAGTCAGAGGGTTTGGGTTTGAATTCCAGATCTGCTCTTTATTTCTTGTGTGATCTTTCCCTCTCCAGGTCTCAGTTTCCTTATTTAAAAAATAAAGAGTTAGCTAATCTCTTAGCTCCTTTCAGCTCTAAATCCTATGCTCTGAGAACAAGAACAGCATATAACTTGGCAGACTCTGGACATCGTATCACCTCTCTCTTCGTCTCGTCCTCCTCCTTCTCCTCTTCCTTTTCCTCCTGCTCCTCTTCCTCTTCCTCCTGCTCCTCTTCCTCTTTCTTTTCCTCCTCTTTCTCTTCTTCTTCTTCTTCTTCTTCTTCTTCTTCTTCTTCTTCTATCTTTCTCCCCTTCCTTTGTCTCTGTATTTCTCCTCTCTTCTTTCTCTCTCTGTCTCTTCCCTTCTCTCTCTTCTCTATCTATCTATTTATCTACCTAACCATCTACCTATCTATCTTCTTTTTGGTAAGGAAGTAAAGAACTCCCTAGGCTTTTTTTTCCCTGGTGAGTTGAAGGCTTCCTCCATAGCATGGGCTGTCTGGGTGGCCATGGAGGGTAGTGAGACCAACTAAAAGATGCCCTACCTCTCATGTCCTTAGGCCTTAGTCTACAGAACCATAGACTTCATAGGTTCATAGATTTAGGGCTGGAAGAAACCTCAAAGGTATGTAGTCCAACCCCCTCATTTTTAAGATGAGGAAATTGTGGCCCAGGGAGATTGTCATGACCAAGGTCACGAAGATAATAAATGTCAAGGCAGAATTTGAACCCTTGACCTTTTCCTGCCAAGGCTCAGCTGTGGGTTACTCCCATAGTCTATTCCCTTAGCTCCTACACCCAATGGTGCTGAACAGAGATAAAGAAAATTACAAAACTGGGTCCACTAAAAATGTGTTACATAATTTCAACTAGACTTTTACATATCTCTAGCTCATGATTCCACTCACCACACAGTCTCTTACAAACCTTTTTATCCCTCCTTGAACTTCTTAAGGCTTCCCTACTTCCACCTCTCCACTGAGAACTTTGACTCATATTTCGATGAAAAAAATGTAAGCTGTTCATTGAGAACTCCCTCTTCTCCTCTCCTCATTTCAAGTCACCCAGATGCCTCCTACCACTCTCTCCTCCCTCCCTCCATGTCTCACATGAAGAGGTAACTCCTAGCCAAAGCAAATCCTTCACATGGTCAAGGGATCCTATTCTGTCCCATCTTCTCCAGCAGATTGCCCCTGCTACCATTCCCACCCTCTCACTTATATTCATTCTCTCCCTTTCTACTGGTTGCTTCCCTGCTGCTACAGTCTCATGCCCATGTCTCCACCATACTCAAAAACCCCTCATTTGATCTATCCATCCCTGTTGAATACCATCCTATTTCTCTCTTCCCATTTGTGCCTAAACTCCTCCAAAGGCTCATCTACAAAAGGCACATTCTACTTTCTTTCCTCTCACTTCTTAACTCCCTACAATTCAGCTACCAACCTCACCTCCATTTTCCTTCAGTTGCTTTGCTTGGCTTTGATTCCATAGAACAGAACAACATGCTCCCTCCCCTCCTTCCTAGGATAAGTTAATCACCTGAAATTTCCTGACCACCAAGAATGACTCTGGTTTTGATACTTTACATCTCTTCTACTTTCTCTCAGCTGCCTCTCCCCTCTGATTAGAGAGCTTGTGGGTAGAGAACTAAAGTGATCCCAAAGCTTTCCTTTATAGAGGCATTACAAACGTCCTGGTTAACACCATTTTCCATGAGTAGCTCTGGTTGGTTTGGACTCCAGGAACAACATGCCATCAATGCTAGATACACCCTGATCATCAACCCCACCTCTGACTTTTCAGATTCCTATTGTGTGCTGTCTTCCCCCATTAGAGGGCAGGGATTCTCTCTCTCTGTGCCTCTTCTTTTCTGTTTCTCTCTCTGTCTCTCTGTCTCAGTCTCTGTCTCTCTGTTTCTCTCTCTATGTTTCTGTCTTGTCTTTCTTCTCTCTCGCTCTCTCTCTCTGTCTCTCTCTCTGTGTGTCTCTGTTTCTCTGTGTCTCCCTTTTTCTGTTTCTCTCTCTGTCTCTCTGTCTCAATCTCTGTCTCTCTGTTTCTCTCTCTCTATGTCTCTGCCTTGTCTTTCTTCTCTCTCTCTCTCTCTCTCTCTCTCACTTAGCATAGTGCTTAGGCACTTACTAAATGTTTACTATTGAATTGAATCATTCAACTGAAATTGTTGTATTTGAAATTACCAGTGATGCTTCATTTTCCAAATCCAATGGCGTTTTCTCCATCCTCATCCTTCTTGATCTTCCTGCAGCCTTTGACATTGTCCATCATTTTCTTCTGGATATTTTATTCTCTTCTTTGACTCTACTCTCTCCTGGTTCACCTCCCATCTGTCTGACTGTTCCTTCTCAGTCTCATGCTAGATTTTCATTGGGTTCATGCTTATTAACCTTGGATGTCCCCCAAGGCTCTGTGCTGGACCCTCTTCTCTTCTCCCTCTGTATAGTAATATAATCAGTTCCCACAGTTTCAAGCTCATCTCCATTAGTTCTATGCAGATAATTCTCAGATTTGTTTGTCCAACCCTTACCTCTTTCCTGACCTTCTCTCTCATGTCTCCAACTACCTATTGGACATCTCAAACTAGATTTTTATTTTAATCCATTTTAATCTCACCATGTCTGAAACTGACCTCATTATCTTTCCCTGCAAACTCTCTCATCTTCCTAACTTCCCTGTTATTATGGACAGAACCACCATCCTCTCAGTCACTTAGGCTCATAAAGTAGGTATCATCTTTAACTCCTCACTCCCTCTCACTGCCTCCCCCATATCCAATCAGTTGCTAAGTCCTCTTGTTTCTATCATCAAAATACTTGTTGTAAATGTCCCCTCCTCTGCTCTGACACTGCTATTATCCTGGTGCAAGCCCTTATCCCCCCATGCCTGGACTACTGGGTTACTGATCTCTTCCATTGTAGTCTATACTCCACACAGCTATCTAAATGGTTTTCCTAAAAAGTAATCCTGATCATGTCAATTCCCTACTAAAAATACTCTAATGATTCCCTATTGCCTCCAAGATCAAATATAAAATCCTCTGAGCTTTAAAGCCTTTCTTAATCTGTCCTGTATTTTTTCCTACATTCTTACATCTTACCCCGCCCCTCCTCACCCCCCATCTCCTCTGTTCCAGTGACACTGGCCTTGTTGTTCCTCAAAGAAGACACTGAATCTCCTGACTCCAGGCATTTTCACTGACTGTCCCCATGCCTGGAATGCTTTCCCTCTTCATCTCCACCTCCTGGGTTCCCTGGCTTCCTTCAAGTCCCAGTTAAAATTCTACCATCTACAGGAAGCCTTTCTTAAGCCTCCTTAATGCTAGGACCATCCATCTGTGAATTATCTCTAACTTATCCTGGATATAACTTATTTGCACATAATTATTTGCACATTGTAACTCTCATTAGAATGTAAGCTCCTTGAGGTCAGAGACTGTTTTATCTTTCTTTGTATCCTCAGTGTTTAGTGGCAGATAATACATGCTTAAAAATGCTTATGTACCATGCTAATTCTTCCTTTCATTTTCAGAGTTTAACCATAGTCTGCCCTGGAAATTTGAGGTTTTCTGAAATGGAAGTCCCCAAATAGCTTTGGGAAAGACTTCATTTCACATGAATTCTGATATAAGTAAAAAACAAAATAGGTACAGCCAGGTTCTGATTAGTGCAAATGATGAATCCCTTGAATTAGTCACCTGTATTTGAATTTGCAACATTTACAGTTGTAATTATGTAAAATGTGGCAATCTGTTTCAGCTCAATGAAAACATGCAGTCAGTGCAAGTTTGAATAATGCAGCCACCTCAGGGGATTCTTATTTACGCTAGTAGGGACCTAGATGTCTTCTATAGCTTAGTTTGGTTGGTAGAATGTCAGCTCCTCGAGGTCAGGGATTGCTTTATTTTTGTTTTTATATCTCCAATGACTGACATAATGCCTGACACACAGTAGGGGCTTAATAAAGGTTTGTTGAATTGGAATGGTTATGACTCATTTGAATTTTTCTACAACCCAACTGATATCAAGTGATTATTATGGGAATTCACAATTCTTTTAGGGTTTGGGGAGAAGGTAGATGATGGAGTGAATAGATGCAGGATACTCACTTTCATAAATATAGAAACTACCACCAATCCATTTGGACTTTTTGCAGCCTCTGTGGCATTTGTATATAACTCATGGTTATAGTGGATTAGCTGAACCTGGAAGGAGAGATGAAAAAACAAACAAACAGTGGCATTAAAAAGGGCATCATGCATCACATTCATGGGGATCAAAAACAATGCATGTTGCAGATGATTAGAAACAAAGTCTTTTTGAAATGAAGGGATTTCACAGGAATTAAGGGTTCCATTTTTTTTTTATTTTTACAAAGGTTTTCTGGTAACATGCATGATTTTAATAACCCCAGTGACCATCTGGCTCTGCCTGGCCCCAACCCAGGATGTCTCCTCTAAGCTGTTGGTAAGTGAATTTCCCGGGGGCTGGTAGTACCGCTTGCTGAGCTATAACAGCAGCTGGCACCGGTAACACAAAATGCTCTTCACAGTAATAGGGACAAACTAGGAGTTGTGAGCTAAGGAGGGAGCCTGCTGACCTGCTGAGACCACAAAAGGAGAGGGAGGGAAAGAAAAAAGGGAGACATGGAGGAGAGAGAGAGGGAGAGAGAGAGAGAGAAGAGAGGAGAGAGAGAGAGAGAAGAGAGGAGGAGATGGAGAGACAGAGAGAATGAAAGAAACAGCATGAGAAACAGAGACAGATACAGATGAGAGAGACAGAATAAGAGAATGAGAGAATGAAAGAGAGAGAGAGAACCAGAGAGAAAGAGAAAATAGAGAGGATAAATGAGAGAATGAGAAAAAAAGAGCTCAGGCTTATGATTCTTCAGCCAAGAGGGGATAATTTCTTTTTTCTTTCTTTCTTTTTTTTAAAGCAGCTCCATCCCTGAGTTTAAACTTTTAGTTGGCCTATCCAATACATCTCACCCATCACTCTATCAGTTATTGAACCTATGCTCATTGCCAAGGGAGAGAGAAACAGCATTGTCCTTGTCCAAAATATTTTAGAAATTAAAAAAATTAAAAATTAAAAGCCAGTCAGATAATGAAACAGGATAAATCTTCTCCAAATAAATTATTTTTGAGGATCAGATTCATGATTTCAGTGGTGTGGGGAATTCCCAGGGAGAAAACTCTATAAATTCAGATTACCTCTTGTTCTGCAAATTGTAGTTTTAGAGAATTGCATAAGATCATAAACTTAAGGCAGGCAGAGACCTCAAAGGCCACCAAATCTAACTCTCTTTATTTTACAGATAAGAGCTTAAATGACTTACTCAGGAACAAACAGCTAGTAAGTGTGTGAGACAAGATTCAAATCCAGGTCTTTTTGACTCTGAGGCCAACTTTCTATCCACTACAACATGATGCTTTTATTACTCTGGCTCTGACATTTGTCACTCCATTGATCAATGTGTTCTTTTAATAATTCTTTTGTAATAACTAAACTTGACTGCTGATTTTTTTGATATCTGAGTAATCATTTGCTGAAGGATAGCACCCTGGGCAAAGAAACACCCTGGGTATAGTGGAGCTTTTAGGGATGAGTCTGGGAGGGAAATCCAAAAGTTTTCAATGTGCTCAAAATAATCCTACTTATTTTTTCACTTTTCATGAGTTTTGCCAATGGAGCCAGATGGTAGTAAGGTGATTGTTGTGCCAGTGGAAGAGAAATCCCACTTGGGAAATGAAGCCTGCTCTCTAGTGGGAGCAGTGACTCTCCAGGGGTTTATCATACTCATCCTCTTCCAAAAGGCAACCTGGGGCCTGCCTTCCTCCCCTGGTGTATTTCCATGGGTAAAGAAGCAGCTCCCTCTTAAGTTATGCAGTGTGAAAGGAGTCTAGAGGCCCTGTGGGGTGCTGTGGCTCTCCCTTCTAGTGCCTAGACAGTTTCTAAATGAGAGGCAAAATGTGTACCTAATGATGTGCACAGATGATCTGTGACAACCCTCCCAGCACACTTGAGCAAGGGGAAATGCATTAAGGAGTGACTTGGAAGTTTCAGCATAGTCTGAGAATTGGGCTGTAAGAAGAAGGTAGTTCAAGGAATTTCACGGCCCCAAAGTGACAATTTTCTTTGACATTCCAGCCAAAGTAAGAATACAAGAAGATCTACAAGGCCATGGACCACTTCTTCTAAAGTATATGGATGTATACTGAATTCAACAAGACCAGAAATGTTGGAACTGTGCTTTGAATTCAGATAAAGTGACCTGGGGTATTCAGAAGAGAGGGGGTGTGGGTCAGAAAACCTGACCCTCTACTTCAGTTCCCGATTTTTAACTCAAGGAAATCATTTAATCTCTTTGATCCTCAGTTTCTCTAGCTGTAAAACTGGCATCATAGATTTAGAGATGCAAGGAGGGAACCAAGTTTAACCCATTCATTTTATAGATGAGACAATTGAGGGGCAGAGATGGGGAGTGACTTGCTCAACATCACACAGGGAATATGTGGCACATCTGAGATTCAGGTCCTTTGACTGCAAATTCATCATTCTTTCCACTGTGCCATGCTGTTTCTTCTCATATGATGATGCTAGTGAATTCACTCACCTACTCTGTACATATCTTACATGGATCTAATTATTTACATGTTGCCTTTTCCATTGGACTTTGAACTCTTTGAGAGCAAGGGCTATTGTTGCCTTACTTTGTATCACTAACACTTAACACAACACCTGGCACACAGTAGGAGCTTAATAAATACTTGTTGATTTGTTTATTTTTGTTTTTAGATCTCCAATGACTAACATAATGCCTGGCACACAGTAGGGGCTTAATAAAGGCTTGTTGAATTGGAATGGTTATGACTCATTTGAATATTTCTACAACCCAACTGATATCAAGTGATTATTACAAGAATTCACAATTCTTTTAGGGTTTGGGGAGAAGGTAGATGATGGAGTGAATAGATGCAGGATACTCACTTTCATAAATACAGAAACTACCACCAATTCATTTGGACTTCTTGCAGCCTACCCTGCAGGGTTATTTATGAGATCAAAGGAGGGCATGTATGCAAAGTGCTTTGGAAACCTAAAAGTGATAAGTGACAGCTATTATTATTATTTTCTGAAAGAATTTTTAAACTTGGAGGAATGTGTGGTATAGCAGAAAGAGGACTGAACTTCAAGTTAGAAAACTTGAGTTTTATTCCCAACCTTCCTATGACAAAGTTCAAGTTAGCCGCTAAACATTTATTAAGTATCTATTAAGTGCTAGGCACTGTGCTAAGTGCTGGGGATACAAAAAGGGACAAAAGACAGTCTCTGCCCTCAAAGGACTCAAAATATATTGGGAGAGACAACCAGCCAACAAATATGAACAAGCTACATACAGGAGAAATAGGAAGTAAATAAGAGAGTAAATAAGACAATATAATTAAGAGGGATTGAGAAAGTCTTCCTATAGAGGAAGGGATTTTAGTTGGGAATTAAAGGAAGCCAAGGAAGCCAGAAGGTGGAGATGAGGAGGCAGAACATCCCAGGCACGGGACACACCTAGAGAAAATGCTCAGAGCCAGAAGATGGAGTTTCTTGCTCGAGAGGCAGCAATACGGTCATTGTTACTAGGTTGAAGCATGTGTGGGAGAAGAGGTGTGGGAAGATTGGAAAGATACAGGAGGAGAGTGGAAGGACTTTGAATGCTAAGCAAAGGATTTTGTTTTTGATCCTGGAAGTGACAGGGAGCCTCTGGAGTTTATTGAGTTTGGAGTGTTAAGAGGGGTGACGGGGTCAGGCCTGCACTTTAGGAAAATCACTTTGACAGCTGAATGGAAAGTGGTTTAGAGTGGTATGAAACTTGAAGCAGGCAAACTCACAAGCAGGCTATCATAGTCTGGGTGTGAGGTGATGAAGGACTGCACCAGAGCAGTGGCAAACTACTTTTAACCTCTCTGAATCTCAGTTTATTCGCCTGTAAAATGGTGCCTGCCTTTTCTACCTTACTAGGCTGTCATACGTATCAAATGATACTTTGTGGAATGATGTAATGATACTGCATGTGTTTTATAACTGAAAAACCCTATAAAACATGCGAGTGCATACACAGTACAATCACAGACCTGTGATTTTATTATTATAGAAAACTTCTGGTGTGTAAACTCCCTCCATTGATACATGCCAAGAACTTGTCTACAACTTATAGTTCTAGAGCATTGCTTCAAACACTGAAAGATTAAGTGAATTGCCTATAGTCAGACAGCTAGTAACTATCAGGCAGGTCTGAAATTCAGATCCTCCTGACTTCAAGGCCAACTCTACCCATTATACCATGATGCTTCTCCATAAAAATAGAAATATATAAAATATATATATATTTAAATTATATAAAATTTAAAAAATATATAAAAATATAAAAAATATTGTTAGTAAAATTACTTATGAGTGGGAATCCCATGAATTTTTGAAATGCCAATATATATTTAAACCTTTCTATCCTTACTTTTAGATTCTTGAAGTTGCTGGCTGATGGGCTATATGCTATACTTAACTTCTCCATGGAATCAATCCGAAGTCTGAACCAAGGTTCAACCAAGGCCTAGATACCTCTATTAGATAAAACATAATATCATAGTGGAACTGGGAGAATCAGGAAAAGGTCCTTTGTAGAAGTTCTGGATTTAAGCTGAGTCTTAAAGGAATCCTGGGATTCTAAGAGCTAGAGCTGAGGATGGTAAGTATTCTGTAAATTGAGGGGAGGGGGGAAGAGAGAGAATAGCCTAAGCAAAGACAAAAAGAGATAGGAGATGAGTGTTATATGGGAGGATTTTTTGTTATTGTCTTGCAGTTGTTTTCAGTTGTGTCCAACCCTTCATGACTCTATTTGGGGTTTTCTTGGCAATGATACTGCAGAGGTTTGCCCTTTTCTTCTCCAGATCATTTTATAGATGAAGAAACAGAGGCAAGCAGGGTTAAGTGACTTGCCCAGAGTCACACAACTAGTAAGCGTCTGAGGTCGGATTTGAACTCAGGAAGATGAGTCTTCCTGACTCTAGGCCTGGCACTCTAGCCACTCTAGCCATTGCACCACCTAGCTGTCCCTGGGAGGAACATAGGCTTTTAATGAGTAGATTGGCCACTAAGGGATGAACTTTTTGGAAATGGCAACTCATGAAACAAAGAAAATTACAAAGTCCCCCTC